GAATTTATCAAATGTTCCACCGTACAAAGTTAAGATTATAATCGTCAATTACAAATTTCGTATTTCATCGTACAAATCTGTATTATGAATCTTTTGATAAATTTTCATCTACTATTCGCGCACATCGAAGTGATAAACTATAATAAACGCCACTTGCTCAAGTGCGCTTCCAAACCTACTAGTGCATGGAAAACAGATCACCAGCGGAAGGAAGAGGAGCCAGGCCGCCAGTCACGTCGGGCAGTTGCGTTAAATCGGGAAGATTCGAAATGTGAGATTTTACTTCCGACCGTACTGCACACACCTTCTTAAGTTTTTCTTTATAATCCTGTGCATAAAAAAAGAATAGTTCTATGTAGTATATATATAATACACACGCACATGCACGCACACGCACACGCTAACAGCTTTGGCCATAAGTCAGGCCCGTCCAATTTTAATTCCAGAATCAAAACGCAAAACCATCGACACAAATAATTCAATATGAGTAAGGTTTTGGGGACTGTGTTGATAAGCGTCGCTCAGATGTGTATCAGTATTTTACAATTCCCAAAATCTTACTCATATTGAATTTTTTATTTGCGTCGATGACTGCATTTTGGTTTCGGAACTAAAATTGGACAGGACTGCCATAAATATAAAGAATTTCCAATTTATTGCATTTTCTTGGAGAAAGCGATAATAAAAGCCAAATAAAAACTTAAAAAATATTAAAATTATTATAAAAGTAAATATTTTTTAATAAAACTGTTTTATTTTTCATTAAATATAGAACATTATCATTTTGTGAAAATACTTTGCATTATGGCCAAAAATGGAGAGACTTTATATTATGGTTGTAAATTTGTTCGATGTTATTCTGATAATAAAAAAAAAGACGATCATACTTCTAGAGTGCTTTGAGCCTGTTGAAGTAATTGTCTTTGCGCCAGAGTGTAATCTCGTAGCATTGTCAGCAGTCTTCTTCTGTCTTCCATTTCAGCCTGCAATCGACCATTGTAATCAGCGAGAAGAGCAGCGGCTTCATTCACTGCTGCGCTCAATTGATCCGCAGCAGTTCGATCAGCGAGATTCGCAAGCAGTGAAACTTCCGAGACTTCCGGTGGTAAAGACGCGATACGTTCCCTAACACCAGCATCTGAAGACGCAGTATTTTCCAAATCCTGAAAAAAAGCAAAGAAAACTCGGTTAATCTGCAGTGACATTCTAATAACTCGCCTGTGTGTTTCGCAGAACTCTACATTTCGTATACAAATATACAATATACTTTGCCATACAAGGAAGAACAAGAATGTTTTCCAGCAAGAGATACAAATGACACAGTGTAACACGATAAATTATTGTTTTCTTGTTATTTGTCAATTAAATAAAGATGAAACAATTTACTGTATTAAAATATTCTACACAAGATATAGTATGATTTTTTTCAAAGAATTTTTTGAACTAATATACATTAATGCAATAAATTGGATGAAACAAATATTTGTTCCACTTATTATTGTATTAATGTATATCAGTTCAGAAAATTCTTCAAAAAAGAATGTCTCTTAAAGAAGACACTTAGTAAAACACATATGTTGTTACAACGCGATTAATAAAAAAATTGGTCAATTAAAAAAATTCTAAGAGCAACAAAAAAAAATAATATTTCATGTACTGAAGCAAAGCATTGATTATTAAAGAATCAGCATCCGCTCGATATACTTCGTAAAAGTGAAGCTTTCGAGGAATAAAAAAGAATATGCAAACATATTCTATTTGAATTATGAAAGAAAACAGCAACAAAGTATATAAAATCGATAGGGTGGATGTCAGAGTTGTTAAAGCGTCTGCTGATGCCTCATGGATTCAACATGTATTTTCACATGAACAAAATATTTTATTGCTAACGATACAAATTCCTTATCATGATTGTTGCTTGTATAATTGATATTAACCATTAAAGCCTTGATGAGTTCCTCGGTTTCTGGTGGATCGCCACCGGGGGTCCTCGGGCTCAATGTTACATGAAGTTCTTTGGTACCATCCACTTCTACTTCGGTCTCCGACTTTTTCCTATCCTTCTCTTTCTGCAAAGCACAATAGACATGTAGACTTCATACTTTTTGTTTATGACATACTTTTGATTTGATTTAGTTTGTTTGAAAATAAATCAGAACTGGAGAAATTTTATATATAAAAGTTAATTATTTATTAAATATATCTTATTACATAGATTTTTAAAAAATAACTTCTGTTGTTTTCATCACTACGCCTTCAAATGTACTTCCATTATTTTCAAACTGAAAATTTTAATTATATATTAGGAGCTCTCGATATGATTTAAGAATACGTACCTTCATTTTTTCTACTTCAACTTTTGCTTTCTTTTTGGGCGGTGTTGCAGAATCCTTCTCAGATTCTGCAAAAGCTACTTTAAATTCAGTTATCTGTGCCTTGTCATAAACCCCTCTTTCTTCCCATATCTGTAGTAACCTATTTAACCGCTCTCTCGTTTTTTCATCAAAACCCTTCATATGCTCAAAGGCTTTAGGCAAGACCGTCTCGAATTCCTTTCCAAACTCTGGTCCTTTTTTCTTACTATTTTGGATGACGTCATTTGCCAGATACATAAATGTCAACTTGCGATTGCCTTTCACTGTAAAAATGTATATAGGAAATATTAAATTTGTGCTAATACCTTTTGCATAAAAAATCATAGGAAAATTATAATTGACCAAATAATAATTATATATAAAATTACATAAATATTTCTATTGTTATAATGTAATGATTTGTTTCAACTTTAACTGAATGTACCTTAAAGCATTCTATTCACTTATTTGCCTTATAATAAATTCAAATATTATCATTATTAAATTATTATGTATTTCTATAACAAATAATTAAGCATATCACTTTCTTCTTATTATTTTTACTCAAAAACTAAAAGGAAATAGCAATATTAAACATATTTAAAAAACATATTTAATATTTATATATAGAAATTTGACAAGAGTGTGTAAATAGTATTTCTTTTTAATACATTCTTCCTTTATCAATGTCTTATATTCATTTTTATCAATACAGCTTTAATTAATTTAATTTATTCTTTATTTTCTGCTAGTTCTAAAAATTAGAGGAAGATAAAGGAATAAATTAAATCAAGATGAAGATAATCTAAATTGATAGAAATGTACATTGAAGATCAATTAAGAATGTTTTCAAGCAACATCCACTGAAATCAATATCTATCCAAACTACGTAACTATGGTTTGGAAAGCTAATTCCAATTAAAGATTAGGTAGAGAGATATATATTTTGGTGAATGTTGCACGAAAATGTTATTAATCCTTTAAGATATCGATAAGGGAAGGATCAAGACATGTTGTTTATTAAATTTCTATTTTTATTTAAATGTTAAATGGTCACAATTGCAACGATTCACGTTCGTATTTAAATTGATTTGTAACTTAGAAATTTAGAAATGACGCTCGCCTGAGACAACGTGCATCGCAGGGATGTCCTTCCGCGTCATCAGACTTAGAACGTTTCGATTTCGGCGGATAGGACAATTGAGAACATTCCTGTAGGTCACTCGTACCTTTGCACATTTCCTTGTACCAGATCTTCACGATGGTCGGATGGTGTTTTCTGTGATGTATCAGCCACAGCGAGAGCGTCTGGATGCTCTGCTGCGACGGATTCAGATCCATTAACCGTTTGACCAAGGCGCTCTCCGTGAATCCTGTCATTGCGCATCGGCTACTGTTGGTGGTTTCAACGGCGTCTTCAGACGAAGTCTTGATTATGGACAGAACCGCGTCGTCTCGTTTCCACCGTCGTCAGATATATGAACGCACGCGTACACGAGTAACACGAGTATGGACGGTGCGGTTCGGTGCAGACTGGTGCAGACTGGACACAGCTGAATTAAGTGCAACGTATGTTGTATGCATGTACGTATGTCATATATCATACATATATATGATGGCAGCGAAGGGACAGACTGACAGAGACGTACGTCTTGCGCAAACGCAGTGAGGTGTCTTTGCCTTCGCCACCGGCAAAGAATCACAAGACTAATACAAACCTTGCTCTCCTTCGTGTTTGTCGGTAAATATGGCATTCGATTGTATTAACCATTGAGTATAGAGAATAGGAGGTCGAACTAAGTTTTGAAAAGTGTGGTCAAAATAAGGTTTCTGAATTGGTATTGCTCGATAGGCGGCGTTCGAATCGCAAAACTCCTCTCGTATACGCTTACGCACACAATTGAACACACATAATCTAAGAATAATAAGTTGTATGCTCCACAGAATAAAAGAAATAAGGAACAGAGAATAAGAATTTCAACCTATCAGAAACTGTGTATTCCACAATACATTATTTCTGATAGATTAAAATTCTTATTCTCTGTTCTCTGTTCCTTTTCTTATGCGAAGTCCCTAAGAATAAAGACGTTATTCTTTGACATCATGCTCTGACAGTAACAGGAAGATGTAAATTATCATTAAAACTGCATGAAGAATGGAGTATTCTTTATGTAAAATTGATGTGACCTACAGTGTTGTTAGATGGACCGGGTTTCAGATACATGCGTGTCCAATGTAGCTTCAGTACTGTCACTTCAGTAAATAGGAGATCATTAATCACTTAGGGTTGAAAATGTTGAAAATTTTAATATATCTTACACACACACATATAT